GCAAGTCACGGAGGAGACTCAGTGTTGTTGCTGGAACTTCCAGGACTGGCATGTGGGCATTATTAAAATCTCACCATTCATCGGTCGCCCTGTTGTGCCTGTGCTTTATGTGGACGGGGTGGTACTTTCTCTAGTACATTGTACTTCTGTTGAACAGTTCCCAATTTTGTGAGATAGACATGGAATTAAAAAGTGTTTTCATCATGTGTGACTGTGACGGATGAAAGTGCTTACTGACACATTTCTCGTAGAAGCGACGACAAGGCTTTTGTAATCAAGCAAACAGTGATACTATGATTTAAAGTTTAAAGCGCAGAATTAATTTTCTGGTACCGTATTTTTCTTTTCTCTGTTGATCCTTTTATCGGAAGGTTATATAGTTGGAGAAATGGATTATTGTTTTTTGTTTTTTTTAAACACACAATTTTTTAAAGCAAACCGCTGGTCAACACGAGTTAATGAAAGGATTTAACTAAGACACAAATACGAATAATACGATACTTAGAAAACGTTTGATGCTGATTTTATTGGATTTGCTGAGAGACAATTTCTTCGTCTTGTTACGAGCAGAAACAGAGAAGTACCAAAAGACATTATTTTCCTTTGTTGTCATTATTTCAACCGGCACGTACTGGTTTTTTTTTGGTTTTTTAATCTTTTGCAAATCGTAGAACTTGCAATCAATTGTTGAATTTCATCAAGTTGGGGTTGGGATGGATAGGACCAACAACAAAAACAACGACCAAAAACCTTGGGGTTGGGATGGATAGGACAAAAAACAACGACCAAAAACCTTGGGTTGGGATAGATAGGACAAAAAACAAACAGCCATGGGGTAGGGATAGATGGGACAGAAGAAACCTTGGGCTTGGGATGCTTGGGCCACAGTGTCCCATGTAACCCAACATTTTGTTTCCAACACAGAGACCTGGAATTTGGCCTGTAGTTAGAGAAATGGTTTGTACTTGTAGTGGGCTGGTTTGTTATTTACTTTTTGCTTTAGAATTTTTTTGACAATTTTTTTCTCATGCCAAAATACTTTTTAAAGATCAAATTTCATTTCCCCAACTTTGAGAACAATTTTGGATACTTTCTAAGTATAATTTCAAAATCAAAATAGCCATCCGCAAGCACATATTCATTTGTGACATTTTGCAAGTTACAGAATTTAAAAAAGTTAAAAACTGTAGAAATGGTGGAGAAAAAAAATTCTGTCCAATTTCCAAGATGGCCGCCGTTTCCATGGCCACGGCTTACGTAACTGAGTGTGTCAACAGTTGAACATGAATCTTTTGTCTCTAACCCCTGACCCCTATCCCCTCACCTATGTTGATGATGATGATGATGATGATGGTGATGATGATGATGATGATGATGATGATGATGATGATGATGATGATGATGATG